ACTGCACCCACGGGAAGGAAAGAGTGTTGGAGGGAGCCAGAAGAGAGACCCAGCTAGACTGGGGAGCAAGTGGCCTGCAGTACAGGAGAAGCTGTATGGGGAGAGAGGACTACAGCAGAGAGCGCTGTGTACAAAACCAAGTGAGAAATAAAATTGTGAGCCAGGAGAGAGAGCAGCTGAGCACGGAAAGCACACACCACCTGGAAGTGGCTGCAGGACCTCAGGACACACAGAGGCAATGCAGCTCTATCTGTACACAGTTCAGACACTCCAATTAGCCAGCAGCTCTGCCCAAAATGTAAAGAAAAGCCCCTCTCTAAAGATCCTGACAGACTGGCCTCTTTAGAAACAAGACAGTGAAAACACCATGTTTACTATTTGCTTCACAAACAGATGCCTCCCACTACTGGCGCAATTTGCCACACCCCCAATGTGTCCAGAGTGGCAGGTGAGCCAATTATTTTCCTCTGGGTACCCAAGGCTGAACCCCCCCCCAGGAAAAAAAAATTATCTACGTCCCTGGTTCTAGAGCATTTTCATTAGTAACATGTATTGTCATTGTTCTAGAGCATTTTGCCTAAGCACTGTTAGAACTAAGTATGGAACCATGCTATATGACTGCAAATGCACATAAAAGCAATGCTATTTGGATATTTGGAGCTAAGTTGCTCCATTGTTAGTAATTAGTTTGGAATGATTGGAAATGCAATAAGTAGGTTCTTCCTGCTTTTCTGTTGTCATTAGAAGGAGAATACATACCATTTATGCAGCTGTACAAATGCGCTGAGGTGTATACTAGATGTGAATCAAGCCAGTCAGGACCTCTATTATGCTGTTTGGATCATTAGGTTTACTGTTTGGTATTGGGAAGTGAAAACTTTCTTTAATCCCGTCAAAATGTTTCCCCTATTTAATTTTGACAGCATTTGGACTGGAAGTGGGAAGGTTGTTCAGTCTCTGAGCTTGTTGAATGACCCCAAAGTATGCCACAAGTACTTGTGACATACTTTGTAGTCCTGGATCAAACTTGATTTTCTCTACTAGCAGAACATCACCTGTTTGCAGTGGAACTGGCCAAATAGCTACACAGCAACCTTTGAGCATTGCTTCTCTTTCCCCAGGCTTTGACCTTGTTACATATCATGAAACTTGAGTTCAGGTATTGTAAGTGCTGCTCTTCATCTGCATATATTCAAACACAGTAAAAAAGCATCTGTAATTAGTAAGTAGTTTTGAGCAGGGTCCAATATAGTTCTTGCACAGAGTCCCTTAGGTGACTTGACCAAGGACTGACACTGATCACTACCAGAACATGTCCTTTCTGTTCCTATTGTCTGCCTCTGATCAAATCACTGTGTGCTCTGATTAGCTTCAGCCTGGTGACAGACATAGATTTAACTAAAAGAAGAGCTTAGGGGTGAACCCAGTTTGTGAGGATGAAACTCTGGGTATGTTATTAGTCAGGAAGATATGGAGGTAATAAAACAAGGTGCATAAGTAATGAAAAACAGAGTTACTGTCTACAAACAAAAGTCAAAGAAGAAAAGAGAGAATCTGGTCAAAGAGAGCTTAGAGCAATTAAAGTTTATTTGTTAAGTTGGTAACTTGCTCCTGGAGAGAATGAGGAAAAACACCCTTGTCCTGCTACAGTACATCTATAAAATGAACTTCTAAAGACTCTATTACAAACGTTATGTCTGTGAAAGACATTGAGGTGCACTTTCAAAAGTCACACTGTCAAGGGGGCATTGTGACCACTCTGCCTATTGGTCACTTGTTAGAGGAGATCTGCTCAGCCGTCAGAGATCAGAGCCTTTTCTGGAGCCACCACATACACCACAGCAGCAGTTTTTCACCCCACAGCCTCAGGTATGCCCTTCAGATGCCGAAACCCGCTGCACCCCAACAAGCTGGATGTCTTCTTCCCCAGACTCTCTGCTCATCTTCAACAAAATGGCTCTGGGAGGTTGCTCACAGCAAACTGGAGTGGCCTTAGGCAGCACAGCAAATCCACAGATGATACAATGGGGATACCAGGCTTAATATCAGCCCCCCTCCCCTCCATCTGGAACATGTACTCCATCCACTAGAAGCCCAGCCACGTCCAGGCCATGCAGAGACTCCTCAGATGGCACCACATGGACCCTGGACAAGGATGTGAGCATTTAGAATTCTGAGCCACATGCATCCCAGCCACATATAGACCCCTTTGTCATGATCTCCACCTCAGATCTCCCAGTATTTGACACTATGCTCAAAAACATGTTAACATCACTAAGAGCATCACTACAACATGATATGAAATCATGCTATTGTCAAATACAAACTGACATACAGGACCCGGGGGAAAGAGTAGATCATATTGAGGATAAATTGTGCGACTATATGGATTCCTTTAACAGGTTAGCTGATGAAGATTCTGTTCTTGAGGAAGATCTAGCATGGTTAAAATCTAAGGTTGCTGACTTAGCAAACAGATACCGTCTCATCAACCTAAAAATCTGCTGCATTCCAGAGGCTTGTACAACAAGCTCAACCACCGCAGTTTGCAAGGGATCTCTTCCTGTCTATCCTGCCATTGCTTACCTCCTCAGTGGATCTAACCATAGATTGGATCCATCAGGTCCCTAAGCCTGATTATCTCCTATCCCAGGTCCCTAGGAATGTCATAATTCATGTGCGTTTCTACCAAGTCAAAGAATAGCTGCCAACGATGTTCTGTAAATCAGAACAACTTCCTGGGCAATTTTTGAAACGACAGCCTTTGCCTCATCTCTCCAAGTATATTCTTCAGCTACATAGCAACCTTCTTACCATTACCAAGACCCTGCACAACCACAAGATCCTACACCATTGGAAATATCCTGCCAAACTAAATATCACACACAACAGGGTGACCAAAGTCATCTCTAAGATGGAGGAAAGCTAGCAACTACTTTGCAGCTGGGGCATCATCCCTGGCCCTCCATCTCACCAGTCTGCATTTACTTACTCTTGCCAAGTGACTTTAGAATGGCAGAAATTACTATGATTTTCAAAGCAACAGCCCACAGAGGGCTCATGAACGAATACAAGAGAATCTTATTATGTTCAGATCCCCAGTTACCAGAGCATTTTCCATCTTGCTCCACCCCCAGATAGAACCAGCAGTGAGTACTGCCTTTGGTCTTATTTCAATACACCTTTTTTAACTTTTATTTTTAATATCTAGTTCTCCAGTTTGCTACAGTTTGGTTGTTTTCCCTATTTGTTTTCACTGAGTGGGAGATGCTCAGAATTTTCTATGTGCATCTATTCCTTTCTTTGATGCCAGCCTTGGTACCAGAGTCATTTATTGGAATTGAATCTACTATAGTTTATGACATTCAGACTCCCCTTCATCACTTTGCAATCACTCCACCTTCTGCTCCTCCCTCAATTAGGGAGAGTGACTTGATTCATTTCCTGCTTCTCATGCACCATGGGATTTAAAATAATGTCTATAAATACTCGAGCGTGGAACTACCCAGTCAAGCGCTTTTCTTTATAGTGGAAAGCACGAAATACCCATTGTATACACCCAAGAAACACATTTCCACCTGAATGCCACCCTTAAATGCACATACAGAGATTTTCCACACATCTACTTAGCATGAGCTGCCTTAAAGGAAAAGGGGGTGCTTTTCTCCATCAAAATCTCTCTTACCTTTAAGTTGTGGGAATCTAGCTCTGACACTGAAGGTCGACACCTGATACTGAACTGTCCTTCTACCTTGGTTGGGGTGTATGCTCCAAACACACACTGCCTACATTTTATGTGTAAGCTGATGTCTAAAAGACTTGTTCCATCAGGAGAATCTCTTTGATGTTTGGCATTGCCTCCATGATAACAGAAAGGGATTATATAAGTATATTTCTTGGCTAGGCAACATACATATTCTAGGATTGATTTTTTCCTCATATCTCTGACATTGGTCTGACCATGTGACCATACCAAATGAAATAGTGGAAAAGGACACTTGCCACTCTTCTAGAGTGTGGCACTGCGATAAAAAAGCTTTTGCAAGAACCTTCTAGTAAATGTGTGCTCTCTCAGCACATCAATACTTCTACTGCTGCCGATAGCTTTTTGTTATTGAATGCCCATAACGCATACATGTGGGGAATTCTCATCCAGCTGGGGATGAGGGGAAAAATAAGCTTATAACCTACACATTACTAATATTATGTAAGAACTCCATACCCTTGAAACCAACAATAAACGCACCCCTGCTATAGCTAACCAATAGGACCTATTCAAGCTCCTTAAGGGCCTTAGAGATGATTTTTATTTTAGCAACACGATAGATACATCAAACATCTCAATCTTCACTGCTATGCTTCTAACAATAAACCTTGGAAGTTCCTGGCCCATAGATTAACCACTTGCCTACAGGGCACTTATACCCCCTTCCTGCCCAGGTCAATTTTCAGATTTCAGCGCTGTTACATTTTGAATGACAATTGCGCGACCATGCAACACTGAACCCATATGAAATTTTTATAATTGTTTTTGAGACAGATAGAGATTACTTTTGGTGGTATTTAATCACCTCTGGGTTTTTTTTTTTTTTTTTCTTAAACAAACCAAAAACCGCGGAAAATTTTGAAAAAAAACTGTTTTTTGTTAGTTTTTGTTATAAAATTTTGTAAATAAGTGATTTTTCTCCTTCACTGATGTGTGCTAATGAGGCTTCAGTGATGGGCACTGATAGGCTGCACTGATGGACACTGACAGGTGGCATTGATGAGGAGGCACTGGTAGGTGGCACTGATGGGCATTGACATGCATCACTGATGGGCACTGAAAGGCAGCACTCATATATGACACTGATAGGCGGCACTAATAGGCGGCACTGATAGGTGGCACTGACTGGCACTGATAGGTGGCACTGACTGGCACTGTTAGGCTGCACTGATAGGCGGCACTGAAGTGCACTGATAGGCGACACTAACTGGCACTGATAGGCAGCACTGACTGGCACTGATAGATGGCACTGATAGGCGGCACTGATTGGCAGCACTGATAGGTGGCACTGACTGGCATTGATAGGTGGCACTGATGGGCACTCATAGGTGACACTGAAAGGCAGCTCAGATGGGCACTGATATGTGGCATTAATGTGCACTGGTACGCACTGATATGTGGCATTGATGTGGCACTGATGGGTACTAGCAGGTAACATGGATGAGCACTGACAGCTGATGGACACTGACAGGTGGCACTGCTGGGACTACACTGATCATCAGGGCACACTGATCATCAGTGCACATGTCCCCTCTGAGGGATGCTGATTACCGGCTCTCCTCTCCTCTCGAGCTGTCAGCATGACAGCTCGTGAGGAGAGAAATGCCAATAACCAGCATTTCCCTATTTACATGCAATCAGCTGTGATTGAACACAAATGATCACATGACCGAGCTAACATCTTCGGCTCTTTCCGTTGATCGGTGATCCGCTGTGTCCGAGGGACAGAGCCCACCACCAATCGCTGCGCTGCTCGCTCCTGAAGCTGCACATACGCGGTTAGAATGAGAGGATGTCATATGACGTCCTCCCAGAACAAGAGAACCGCCTTACGCCCCTCATTACCTTATATGGCGGGAGGGAGGCGGTTAAAACATGGAGAAACAATGACCAGGATTTCCCTTCTTATCAACCCTATCAAAAAACCGAAGGCCATAAATCCACAAAGAATTGCCAATATGCTTGCAAATGACTACAGTTGTCTGTCACGTTCTCTAGCGGTAGCTCTATAGGTCCACAGTTTGGGGTTCCCCAGGGCGTGGGGTCTAAGCCCCAGTCTGCTTGTTCACCAGAGCCACTGATGGTGGGGATGGACTTGGAGCAGGCTGAGACCAGGTGGCGGCCCCCAGGTATGCCCAGCTGCGGTAGAGGAGACCGCTAGTGTCACAAACTTTAGTAGTGAGCCTGATGTGAAGAGGCAGAGCAGACCAGAGCAGGATGCGGATGGGTCCGTACGGCAGGTAGCGGAGAAGGCGGGCTGGGTTTGGTATCCAAGAAGGCAGAGCAGACCAGAGCAGCAGGCAGAAGGATAGTCGGGTCACAGGCCAGGTTCAGCAACAGGAGGTCAGAATGATCAGGAGCAGGCAGAAGAATATCCAGAGACAAGCCAGGGGTCAGGGCAGGAGAAGGTCAACGGATGTCAGGAGCAGGCTGGGTTCGGCAACAGGAAGCAACTCAGAGTCAGGAATCATAGGCAAAGGAATAAGACCATATGGCAATTTGGATCCTGCAGTGGCCCGTTTAAATAGCCCGCCCGGCGCCGGCAGGCGTTCCTGGGTCCTAGTGCCAGCCTGCCTGTATGCCTTGTCGGAATCCTGTGCTTGCGCAGATTCGTGCACCACGGCGATCTTCCCTGACAGTTGTCTTTATAATCTTAAGGACAACCCATCTACACCCCAGCCTTCTGATATCAACACTAAAGCATATCTGTCAAAACGTAATCTGTCATCATTAATGGAAGCCCAATTGGAAGCATTGAATGCCCCTTTTAGTGAACAAGAAATTCAGAAATTCATCACTACCCAACAAATCCCCTAGTCCTGATGGATTCCTGAATGAATATAATAAGGCGTTTCAGGTTTTGCTTTCTCCCCATATCACCATTCTCTTTCTTACTTACTTACTTACATACTTCGTGATGCTACCAAAACCTTTTAAAGACCCGATGTTGCCCTCTAATTTTAGACCCATATCACTCTTGAACTCTGATGTAGAACTGTATGCTAAACTTCTAGCCAGCCGATAAATGCATACCATGCCACAATTATTGCAACCTGATCAAATCGACTTTACTTCTGGTAAACAATCATTGGAGGCCGCAAAGCAAATCAACAACATTATCCACTTTGCTTAGCTTCATTGGGCGCCTTCTCTGCAACTGTCTTGACTGTGCTCAATTTATTCTTAGTTGATATAATGAGGCCTCAGTCACTAAAAAGTTATCTACTGCCCACACAATCATTCAACTAGCATGGAAAGCTCTCTTAGCATTGCCCATGCTTACCACAATCGATCAAGAGTTGAATTTGCCTATTTAGGTTCTAGAGTCACTTTTTCTGGACTTTTCGGTCACTCAGTTTGTACTAAAAGGTATTAATAATGTGAATGATCTATTGTATAACCACACTTCCAAAAAAATGGAGGAACTGATGGAGAAATTACAGCTTTTGAGTACTTAGTTTTTCACGGTACTTCGTATTTCACAATTCATTTATCCTTATCCCCTCCCAATATTACAAATACACCCCGGGTGTCAAGATGTCAGGGCACTCACTGCTCCCTGTTTTTGAAAGTCCAACCGCTCTCTTCAGCCCATCTAGAAGCACTCATGATGGTGCTTGGTGCTCTGCCACTCTCTTCACTAGTAGTGGGTTATCTAGGGGTCTCACCCTTCATGGCTCTCCTTTCCTCTCAATCCACTCTGCAGAGTGCTTCCTCCCAGGGGTCCTCACAGCTCGTCTCGCAATACTCCCCTCAACTTCCTCCAGCCTCCTCCGCTCAGCTGCCTCCACTCCACTCTGACACCACTCCACCGCTTTCACATCACCACCATTGCATGCCCAGCCATACCAGGAAGCCAATGGGCTGGGAACGCAAGGAGACCACCGGAGGTATGTCCAGTTGCAGCTATTCCTCCTATATCTCCCTGCGGGATCACGGAGTCCTCACAGCATGCTCCGTGTCAGCGCCATATGCAGGCCCCTGACACACAATGCTAATCATTAGGAACAGACCCACAACATTTTTTTCCACACGCCAATAAGTTTATCCAAATTTTCCTCCATCGGCTTCCCTACATGATGGCGGGATTGCAGACTGATAGGACTCTATATCATATGTTTTGGGCATGCAAATGTTTAACCAGCTTTTGGCACAAAATACCCAGCATCATTTCTGATATCACTGAAATATTATTGCCTGTCAATACAGCGTTAGTGCTATTGAACTCAGGGATAGATCAAGCATATCACATCATTACTCATATCCTCTTGGCAGCCAGAACGATTGATACTGGAAATCCCAGTTGACACCTAATCCATCAGAAGCTCTCTCTTTGGTTAGAATCAGTTTTTCCTATGACAAAGCCCTAGCTCTGAGTTGCAGCTAATACCTGGCCTTCTCGAATGTTTGGCAACCTTGGATAGAGTGGCATTCTATTCATGGAACTTAAATTCAGTTATGGCGATGTATCTTGGTTTTACTGATATGACATTGTTTCTGTTGTTTCTTCCTTTCTATATACAGTATATTTTAAAATATCTGGAGCAAAGGCTCCAAAGCATCTTTGTATGTTATATCTTCTGTATTTGTCTTTCAAACTAATAAAAATCTATTGACACAAAAATTTACACTGTCCTTATTGGCTGATGTTGAAGTGTTGCATGTGCTTATATCATGTATATGCACCTCCTAGAAGCTGTGGCACCAAATTTGGGCATTACTTTATAAAAAAGTTCAGCTGATATGGAGATAGGTCCCTGGACTAGCAGATTCACAGCAATATTGCACAAGAATAGAAAGAAGGTGCCTCACTCCATAACACAAGTAGTTCTTCCACCATAACCCAAGATTAATATGTTACCTGGGCCATGATTACACGTGAAATATTTTTATAATGGATGGAGATCCTGGCTCACAATAAGATTAAATCCAGAATTATAGGGTTTTCACCCAAATAAAAGCATGCCAATCCCCATTTTACTGAAATAATGGGCATATGTATTTGAAGGGAAATGCATGGTTGGAGGGAGCTGTTGTCTGGTTTGTGTTGACATAGTTGCAGCAGACTGGTCAAATACAAAGTGAAATATAAAGGAGCAAAACATAGTTTGAATACAACATGAGTACTCTGTATATAAAGCCTGAAAATAAACAGCAGAAGTACAGTATACTGCAAGACAGATAGAAACAAAGGAAGGATGAAAAGGGAAGAAGTCACAAATAAGAGTCACCTATGTCTTTAAATGATGATGTTCTACAAAGTAAGAAGTACTGGATATGTAAGAATGGGTGGTCCACTGCATTGCGGTGGTTTACAATGATCCATAGACCACAGAACTGAGAGCTCTGGCATGAGATGCATACATTATAGAGCGAAACAGGTGGCTTCTTATTTCATTACCTTACAGCCTAGATTTTCTTTAGTCTGCAATGATTAAATGATAAATAGTATTTCTTCATTAAAAGGAAATTTTAAAAGGTGTAAAGGCTACAGCCACGAAGATTTGTGATGATAGTGGTCTGCTGATACAGATTCATTATCTTTCAAAAAACTTGATGACTACAATAGAAATTAATCCAGTCAGAACTAATAGATGCAAACATAGTAGCAAAATATAGAAGAGGTAATCAATTTTTTGCCCAAATAGCACGATAACAAACAAAGAAAGCATCCAAATATCAGGAACTGATATATCACTTAGTTTAGTATTTCAATTCCAAAAAGCAATTATGTCTGTTTCTCTCTAATTTACAGTGTTTTAATGGTTGGTACCTGCTATATTTAAATGTAATTTACAATACGCAGTCATTAAGTCAAATTTTAACACTGGCCATGTGAAAGAGCTCATAAAACATTATTTATTTTCAATGTATTTACAAACTATAAAAAACATTAAATAATGTGTATAACAGTGAGGAAAATAAATTTGTTTTTCTCCTTAAATAAATATGGTGATGCTATGTATCTTTCTTGGATCAAGCCATGGCAATTTCTTTCTATATTTTTTTTATGTTGTAATTTTCAGCTATTGTATTTGGATAAATAGGACATACAGTGTATTTCCAGGCAGCGAATGCATTTTTCCTGATTAAATTGGTTCCCTGAGGAAATGTGCTTTTCCGATGCATAGGTATGAAAATCCCTAATGGGGCTCCCATGTCTCTAATGGTTTTGGCCCCTAGGATCCTTTCTAAAAAATCACGGACTGGCACACTAAGACACAGTGGTTTTCAACTCTGCTGCTCTATTCTAAAATGTTCCTTTGTGCAAATGGGCTGTTTTTAACTTGTTCCAGTAAACGCTGGATTATATTTTCAGCTTGCAGAACCAATTATACCAAAAGGTCTGCAACAGATTATTTTGCTTAACCTACATTTAGTTTGCTAGATTTCTTGAAAATGCATTGCTAAAAATACACAAATAAGAAAAATAGTGCACATACTTAAATCTCAAGGGAGTGAGCTATATGTGAGAGTGGAGGAGGCCATAGATAGTACATATAATGAAAAGAATTTAATGAGAACACAAAGAAAAAGAGTGAAGCTAAAGTGTTACGGTTTAGAAGCAGGACATTACAAAACAAAGAAAAACACAGAAAGCCAGATATAAAATGTAAAGATAATAGTAAATGTAGAGACAAAATATATTGTATTA